TTCGTAATTCCTTCTAATACGAATTACGAACCTGTTGCGTGAGTTTAGCTAACGTTTCGTCTATATTCCTAGTGAGTTCATCATAAGCCTGTTCAAATTGATCATAATTCACTTTCTTGTTCACAGCACAGACATCCGCTTTCTCTGCTAAAGCATCCTCCATGTCTTCTCTGTTGGCTTTAATATTTCTCAAAAATTCTATTTGTTCCACTAAAGTCTATTATGACAGGATTAATTGAAAAAAAATGTTCATAAAGATAAGAATATGCAGTCAAACGTCCCTAATTCGAATCTCTTAAAAGCAACCAACAAATTAAATGACTAGATACTCCGATAGTGTTGCTTTTTTCTAAACTGCTTTTTTTTAATGTCTTTCATAATTGAGCACCTCAGTGAAAAATATTGTTAATAGATTTGCTTAGAATAGGAGGAATTGGATTTTCGTTGCGAACGATTTTTCCGAAAAAAAAAATTAATAGAGATTTGAATTATGAAGACAATTTTTATAATTTAAAACTCGCACTTCAATTTTGAGTTAGTGAAAAGTTCGAGTTAGAGACATAGAGAAATTCAAGATTTTGAAATAAATGTACGTCAAGGGAACAAAAAAATATTCGAGTTAAAAAAGATTATTTCGAGTTAAAACAGTTCGACTGTACTTAAAAATATTATTGTAATATACATTTTATTTTTTTTTAAAGCCGTTACTGAATCTCAATTATCGACTTCAGGAAGTATATGAAGATTGGAAAAACTTTGGCGGTTGTTGTAGAACAAACAGAATAGCTCAAAACCCCAACGCCAAAACACGACACTGTAGTTGTCCGAAGCACTTTTCGGTAACAAAGTTACCTTCTTCAGGGACTGAAGTAAACTGAGCTATTCTGTTTGTTCTTCAGGAAGTATGAAAAAAATGTATTGTGGTTGCTCAAATTTCAGAGAGCAGAAAATAATTAGTGAATAGAGTAGAAAGGAATTAGTGAATATAAAACTATTTTTATCCAACTTATTTACATTTATGTATGCTTCTCTGTCTTCTTTATCTCTTATCATTTCTACGTTCTTTTCTGTTAATTCTTCTATATCCTTTTCAATTTTACTCAACCTTTCGAATAATTCCGCCAGTGCGGATTCGTCCATTGCTCCAAATCCATGTTCTTCCGATCTAGGCGAAAATAGTTTGATGGAGATATTTGATTTATTTGAAATTTGTAGTTCTATTTCGAATACAAATTAATTGGATTACATTACGTTTCGTTGTGTTGGTTAGTATTATATTGTACTGTAGTGTGATAGGTTTCATTTTGAGTTATAATTTGAACCATTTTTTTCGCATTACATAAGTATATTATCTCTTTGTGCGTTGCATTGTAAATACATTACGTTGTAAAATAATTCGAAGTGGTCTTTATTCGATTAAGCTAACGTGCCTATCACGTTGAGGTTGGCTACGTCCGGGATTCGTTTTCAGCAAGCAGATATCCACACAAGTGGACCTTGTTGGAGCATACGTAATCCTAAAATGTAGCATCGTGCTACAGATGGCGTTTACTGCGCCATTTGTGGAATTTTCGAAAACGTTAGGTTGTGTTACCTCATATTTACGATGCATCGTATTCTTTTGAATATTATTGTACTGTATTGAATTATTGTTGAGTTTAACAATAAACTGCATTTAGTTACGATGTATTGCTTTCCATTTATGTTACACTTATCGCCTTAATGTTTATTATTGTTTAATTACATTGCGTTGCATTTCTGTCTTGGTTGAATTTGTGTATTACGTTGAAATGTGGATGTTGTGTTGTGTTCCTTTGTTTAAACTAAATTATACTGAATTGATGTCTATCTACATTACATTCAGTTTTACTCAGGGCTGTAGCTAGAGTCGAATTTGAGGTAGGGCAGCATTGTTTACAGGTACGGTGAAAGTAAAAAACTCTGCCCTCGAAGCAGGGGCTCCTGAATCACCTCTAGGTCAGTGATGTACATTCAATAGCTATTGGTAGACAAATAATTTCTGTGACAGAATATAAGAATGTAGCTAAGAACTATTAGATCCTCAATGACGAAGAACAAGCGAACAAGTTGGTTGAACTTCCAAGTTTGGATGTAGAGATCCACGTCTGAGTGAGAGTGAGGTAATAATTAATTGTTGGGTGGGGTGATACGAGTAAATAGATACGACCGAAAATACCATTTAGATTACATTGTTTCTGCAAACTTATTCTAATAATTAACATAATAATAATAATAAAAAATATTTAAAACAGCTGAATTGTACGATTCGCCTTGTTATTAAAAATGCGAAGAACTTCGTTCAGATCAACTGATTCTGTTCTTTTTTTTTTTTTCAAAGGCCAGAAATACCATACCAGCCATTCTTTCGTGACCCACTGACAGCCTTTGAGGCCTATTGATTGCAATTAAAGTTGAAAACGTAGATTCGCACACTGCAGTGCTACATCCTATAATCGTCACAGATGCAATAAGTGCATATGTATACTTCATTTACTTTCTGTAGCGATGTGACCTTCAGTTTGAACGGCGCAAGGTAGAAAAGAACGGCACTAGGCCAGAAAAGGAAGGAGACAACTCTCGGCCAAACTCTTAACCGGTGAGGAGTGTATAATCCGTACAGTACTGCACGGAAAAATTGATCATTTTATCCACTAGAATTGCATTGCACAAATGTGCTGTTATTGGTACCATTTTCTACTGAAAATATAGACGAGATGTTTATTTATATTTGAAGACATATTAAAGGCTTTAACGCTTGTTTTCGACTCGCACTACTATTCATGATTGAACAAAACTTTTGGCAGGTACTGTATGAAAAAGTATGTTTAATAACAAGAGTCGTGAGTATAATGAGCTTTTTTCTTCCTACCTACGATTTTGTCAGCGCGCATCCAAGACACTGGAAAGGGTATATCGCTAGAGAAAGTAAATGAATTACATCTTTGGTATTTTTAAGGTAGAGTATTGTGATTTCAAGGTAGGGCATTGCCTCACAATGCCCCCCAACCGTAGCTACGGCCGTGGTTTTACTGTATCTCAAAGTGGTTATGTGATGCTGTGGTGACTTACAGAAAAGACATGAAAAACAATTCATACTACAGTTGTAGAAATAAATTTACCTCGAATTAAGTCTTTCCTGAATAACTCCTAATTCTTTTTCTAGATCGCATAACTGGTTGTGGAACACCTCAAATTGATTATTAAACATACAATCGAGCGATGCTATTCGATCCATGCATTCTTTGAATTTGTCATCAATTTCTTTGGCTTTTTCGTCGGTCATACCGCCCAATCCTGCTTCCTTTAGAAAAGCTAGGATTTCTGCTTCTTTAGCTTTGAACATGCTTAGTAAGCCATCTGTTTCTAAATAATTCAACCGGTTTTTAAGGCTCTCTAAGATATCTGCTAAATCTCCGGGTACACCAGCACCAACACCACCGCCTCCTGCACCTGCACCTGCACCATACGCTACACTTTCAGTACCGTCAGCCCCCCCAGCCTTATTAAACTCATTCAGTGCATTGCTCAGAGTTCCTCCTTTCGCAAGGTCTTCAAAGATACTGCCCAGTTTGTTTATTCCAACTTCGACGCCATCAACTCTTTTCTTCAAGTTCAAAATTTGGAACATGTCCAAAACAGGTGTAGTCTTTTCCGATCTGAATTAAAATGGATTTTTATCCAAAAGAAAAGTTTCAAAAGTATTCAATAATTCATTAGAATTACATATATTTCTATAATATACACTAGTATAGTAGTAACAGAGAAAAAATAATACAAATTTGAATAACCAGGTTGGAAGGTTTAAAATTACATATCCCTTGTTTTTTTAACAATAAAACGTTAAACAATTTTTGATCTTCATCCTTTCACATGTTCGATGAGAATGCTTTGGTATTGTACTCTTTGTGGTTTTTTTGATATGGTCGTTTATACCCGTCAAATAGTTACATTTCGAGCTTGGGACAAAAAATACGAGCAATAGTCGATTTTGGACCCAACACATGCATTATACATTTTACCCATACGTGCCATGAATGAAATCAAATCTTTAAGAGAATTTCGATCCATACGGGATCATCTTATTTTAAATTGCAATCCCCATACTTTATTTAAGTTTTGGAGTTAAATTCTAATTGCGTAGGTGTTTGATTTCCCGAAAATGGTACTTTGGGCTTTGGGCAGAGAATCCAATTTAACAAGAACCTACAGGAACAATCACGAAAGCCTGTATTTAAGCAGTTTGAATAGGAAACGTGAAGCTCAATCGATTTAATATACTCTACCGTTTATTATAAGGATTTTCTCTTTGAAATTGCTCCATTTTTAAGATAAATTGTTTTTATGCAAACAAATAGGTCATTTCATAGCGATCAATAATAAAATATACAACCCAGCATATACCCTGTATATATTCAAGACGCACAGACAACCCCAGCAAAATTCGGTCAACCTGATGTTCACACCTAATATTCATAAAAGTAAAAATTCACTAATTCACACAGAATCTTTCCAGAAAATTAATAATACAATTTTTAATAAATATTCATTTCAACCTTTTTGCTTTTACTGTCTGCACATTTTCCTAATGGTGCCGAAAAAAACCTTTTTGACCTTCCTCCTTTGTATTACGGAAATTATTGAAAGTAGTAGGTAATATAGTAAGTACTGTTGATAATTATTTTGAACATAAACTCACTGTAGAGCTTCCATCAGACCCTGATTACTGGGTAAGTCTGTTAATTCTTTAATTTGTAATTTCATGACTCCAACGTCTCTTTCTATATTTTCGAAAAAGTTTCTGTCAACAGCGACGGTAAGATGAGGAGTATCTATGCCCTCTTCATTAGGCTCCACAACCACCACGGTTTCGCCTAAATTATTTAAATTATAATAGAGTCTATCTTTTGCAAAATAGAGATTAAGAATCTATACTGTTCAACATCCTTACAACTTTTCACATAACAAACATGCTAAAGGCATAGGTAGGTAAGGCTAGAGTGTGAAAGAAAATTATTTATATAAGAAGGCACCTAGGTATTTATAGGGTTGTTCGGAAAGTCATTTCATTTTTTTTTGTGGAAATGAAAGACAGTTTTCGTATAATAAACAAATACTTAATTAAATTATATNGATATATCAACAGTAGTGTAAATAAATAGAATAATTCATAACCTAAGTTTAGTAATAATTTAATAGTGTTTTTAAGTTCTTTAATAATTAGTGTAAACAAGTAGTTTTTGTCGTTATCAGTCTTAGAAGTTAATTTTGTTAAAGCCACGAACATTACAGGATGTTCTACTATTTTTGGGGAAATGCGAATATTGCCTCAGGAGTTTTAAACTAGTCTTTGGACTAATGACTCTATGATGATGATAATAGTGGGTCGATTAGTAATTGGAATATTAAAGAAGCACTCAAAACGTTTGGCTTTTTAAATGAGAATAAACTGTATGATGATTTACTTACTTGTCTGGCTTTTTGGGAGAGCTCATCATGTTTTCGAATTGATTTAAATCTCGGCCTTGAGGCATACTGGGAATTAGAGATATTAATTATTAAATTAATAGGGATAATAATTGTATCTATCTAATAATTTTACAATTAAACAAACCAAAACTTAGGGCAAAATAATAAGACAATTTTAATATTTTATTTATTGGTTAGTATTAAGTCTACTTGCCATCTTTGTTGTTTTCGTAATGCGTCCAACTCGTAAGCCAGATAAGGAGCCATACTTTTCGTCGGTGGTAGACCAGGCTTCGGTGGGAACAGAGATGTATCCAATTCTTTTCGCATTATTACGTCTTTATCACATGATATGCAGTTCACATTTCTAAATATATAAATTAAAGTAAGGAGAGATATAAATGAAAAATTTAGTTGTCACAACTAATCTACAGATAAATTCCTAACAATTTATGACTTTTATAACTGAAGAGGCTGAGTATCTACTTCATCCAATCAAAAAGAAATCTTTGTCTTTATTGAAAATTGTTACTTAACATAATGTAAACAACAATAACATTCTTATTTAGATTTCCTCCACTTATTCTGTCTTCTTTTTGCAAGCGAATTCTAAACAAATAGCTTCGAAAAGATTTTCATACACTTTTGAAAATCTTTAACCCCTTCGCTTTTCCGCTGAATACGTTATTGAAAAAACTCAATCATACCCTACCAACTATCACGATTTTAGATAGAAATGTACACATAGAGCACATCTTTCTGAGTACGTTAGTATTAAATTTGATTAGGGCTTAACCTTCTGGTGGAGAAAATTACGTCAAAGAGATAGTAGTGGGTATCTAATGGGGGTGAGTAAGCAAATACTTTTTTGGTGTTTCATTTTCCCCAGCTATTAATGCTGGAAGGCAGGCAGTCCCTCCGGAATACGCTGGGGTGTAAGGCGGTAGACCTTCTTCAATCTCTTTTTAAGAATTGTGGGAATGGATGGCTGTGGTTGGGGCAAGAAACATGACACAGACGAAATGAAAATAGAAAAGAAGTGAAAGATTTTACCTGTGGAATAAGCCCCAGCATTTGCCTTAGTAATCTAAGAAAACCACAAGGTAACATGGACCGTAGCAGACGAACCGGAATCGAACGTGTATCTTAAGGATCCGAAACCATGACGGTTGGTAGTTCATGTCTTCATTCTAGGAGTGTTTTCATTAAATATCACCTCTCCTTGCCAGATTTTAATTTTTGGTTGACGGATTTTTAGCGAGATAGTTAAATTGAAACCGTTATAAACACTAAAAGTCTGCAATACTAATCAAAACCTGATATACCAACAAGCGACAGAAATCCAAAACAGTTCGGTCATACTAATGTATTCTTATTCAAAAGAAAAAGTAAACACAAGAACTATATCGAAATAACAAATAATTTACTATAGTAATCAATAAGTAATATAAATTAGGACGAACGACCTATCCCAATACAACCTTAATTACCAAATTTCATTTGGTAGATCTTTTTATATAAAATTATTATGGGTGGTGTTGATTTTTTCTTTTTTCTCTGGTAGAATTACCCGGCGTTATTATCTGATACCCGGCCGGATTCTAAAAAAATGGCGGATCCGCGGAGCACCGGATGTACCGGATCTATCCCGCTCAGTAGTCAGCAATTACATCGATGATCCGAATTATCGAAGTAGGCATGAAATTCATTCAATTTTTGAACATCCAAATTATTAAGTTAATATTGCTTCACGTTTTGAACATTACTTCTTACCTACGTTTGATTTTGTTTTGTTTGAATACACTTTAATTTTAAAGTTTTGATATACTTTTCTCACAACCAGAAGGTTAAACTCTAATAAAATCAAATATTGTTGTTAAAAAAGAAATGCCCTTTTGCACTCTCCTCAATAATTCAAACATACCGTCGGTGGTAAAGTGGAAGATGTAAATATTTTTAAAAGTAGAAAAATATTAGAACCTTCCGGTTTATATTTAATGAAACACTTATGCGTTATTTTAACCAACAAATCAAAACAACACCTTAAGAATCTGCTCTTGGTACCAGCAGCTTCAGCATCTCTCTTCAATGCTGCCAGTGCCCTTAGCCTGTCTTGTAACTGTTTCAGTTTGGCGTTCACGTAATCTTTAAGTGGACGAAGGTCTGCTTTGTCCAACTTATTTGCAATTTCATTCTGTATTTCGTCTAGGGTTTGCTGCCATAACGCTTCCTATTTACCATATTTAATATTTATAAATTATGACTTTATAACAAAAACTAATCTGAATTGGAGTAAGACTTATTTAAAAAACGAAACAGTCAAACAGTGAATTTGAATTCCTTCTAATACGAATTACGAACCTGTTGCGTGAGTTTAGCTAACGTTTCGTCTATATTCCTAGTGAGTTCATCATAAGCCTGTTCAAATTGATCATAATTCACTTTCTTGTTCACAGCACAGACATCCGCTTTCTCTGCTAAAGCATCCTCCATGTCTTCTCTGTTGGCTTTAATATTTCTCAAAAATTCTATTTGTTCCACTAAAGTCTATTATGACAGGATTAATTGAAAAAAAATGTTCATAAAGATAAGAATATGCAGTCAAACGTCCCTAATTCGAATCTCTTAAAAGCAACCAACAAATTAAATGACTAGATACTCCGATAGTGTTGCTTTTTTCTAAACTGCTTTTTTTTAATGTCTTTCATAATTGAGCACCTCAGTGAAAAATATTGTTAATAGATTTGCTTAGAATAGGAGGAATTGGATTTTCGTTGCGAACGATTTTTCCGAAAAAAAAAATTAATAGAGATTTGAATTATGAAGACAATTTTTATAATTTAAAACTCGCACTTCAATTTTGAGTTAGTGAAAAGTTCGAGTTAGAGACATAGAGAAATTCAAGATTTTGAAATAAATGTACGTCAAGGGAACAAAAAAATATTCGAGTTAAAAAAGATTATTTCGAGTTAAAACAGTTCGACTGTACTTAAAAATATTATTGTAATATACATTTTATTTTTTTTTAAAGCCGTTACTGAATCTCAATTATCGACTTCAGGAAGTATATGAAGATTGGAAAAACTTTGGCGGTTGTTGTAGAACAAACAGAATAGCTCAAAACCCAATTGTTACTTAACATAATGTAAAC